CCGCCGGCGGATGAGAGCGTCTGCGAGAGGGGAGGAAGCTGTAGCCTTCGCTGACCCTACAGCAGTTGCAGCATCTGTAAGGCTCACTTCGGCCACTGCAGCATCTGAGAATTCATCATCATCATCTTCGTCTGTTCCTGTTTCATCATCATCTTCATCTGATCCTGCTCTATCATCATCATCTTCTTCATCTGATCCTGCTCCATCATCATCTTCTTCTGGTCCTGATTCATCATCTTCATCTGATCCTGCCCCATCATCATTATCATCTTCATCTGGATCATCATCATCATCATCATCATCTGGTCCTGCATGTAGGAAAGACAGCCTAGTACGTAATAAGCTTTTTCCCCACATCTCATACACAAGGTTATGAGGAAAGATTTTACCAAGGTTTTCTCATTATTTGTTATTATCTTGACTGTGTGAAGTGAAAATGACACAATAAGTGGAACGCTCACACGAGTTCAATTTGTCAATGACTATGCAATCATTTGTTTACACAAATTAAACAAATCATCAGTTACAACTTGATTGTGGGTATTTAGTTTCCTATACAAGCGTCAGAATTAATGAGTTAAAACCCGCGTCCGAATTTCAGTCCACATCACTCAGATTACTCATAATAAGACAGTAAAACGTTAGTTCTGATGTTAAACAACCAAACAATTTTACTGGCACTTTTAGCTTAAGTTTTTTGGCAAATCAAGGTACAAGAAAAAAGAGGAAAGTGATGTTAGTTTTTCTACTACTTTTACTTTTACCAAAGTATGAGTCAACCGGAAATGCACGTCTTTTCTCGACTCAGGTTCCACTTGGCACATCACCAAAACATGTCAGCCTTTTACCCAATGATGGCTTCTTAATGCACCCTCGAAGTAGAAAAACTGGCTCGCCTCCGATCAATCAGTGAACTGTTGTCGGCTCGCTTACCGGTCATTAGCGAACAGGTGTTATTTTCAGGTAACTTGTGTCTGCTTCAGTCCAAGCCAGAAAAATTCAAGCTGTATCCGGTTTCTCCTTCAAAATAAAACATCTCCCCATCGGGAGGTACCAAACCACTTAGAGGCTTGAAGCCTCGGGTTGGAACCCCAACAGCTTGTCGGGTCCCTGGCTTTAAGATCCACCCTAATTGGCTCGTGGGATTAGATCTTACAGCCGAGAGCTGTGATTTCTCCGAAGAGAATTCACAACCGTCTTCCTTGTTTTGAGTTAGGAAGTCCGAGTGTCTTCAAAGCCGTCCGGTTTAGTAATAAGAAACGGACAAACTTTGGTTCCGCCCTCAGGCTTAGAGATGAGTCAGAGAAGAAAGATACAGACTTGCCAGCCAGGCGCCATTCAAGGTTAAATTCTGTGGTGGTTTAACAACATCATGATAACCTCTTTAGCTTCTTTTTGATAGACTCTAAAAGAAATCACTGCAAAACATTTATGGTGATTAACTATAACATTTCTGTTTTGTAACCAGCTTTGAACCATTCTCAGTCCAAATAAATGAAAGATTTTCTCAAGAAAAATCCACAATTATATTACTGTGTTCACAGTAAAATAAAAACATTGATTTACATAAAAACACAATGAAAACATTGTAATCAGATTCTCTGTGATTTTTTATACCATATAAATCTTTAAGGCACGATAAGAGAAAAGAAGTGGTTCCACTCTTCCTGTGACAGTCATTATCATGATTTAACAAACGCATAAACATTCTTAGTTAAATGACAAGTGAATCACGAACAGAAGAGATTGTTCTGTCCATTATCTGATTAAGAGAACTGAGGGGTTCTCTTCCACGGTTAGAATGACCCGTCATGGCCTAAATAGAGTTCAGTTTGTGACAGAGTTCCTGTCCTCACGTCAGGCCTGTCCGAGGCCTGCTTAGAGGCAGAAAATCTTGTTTCTTCACTCGAGGTGACCCCTACATGCATCATCTCCATCATCATCATCTGGTCCTGCTCCTGAGTCTGAATCTTCATAAATCGAGTCTTCAGAGACCCAGTCTTCAGAGTATCCAGAGTTCGAGTAACCAGAATATCCAGAGTTCGAGTATCCAGAGTATCCAGAGTATGCAGGGTTCGAGTATCCAGAGTTCGAGAATCCAGAGTATGCAGGGTTCGAGTATCCAGAGTATGCAGGGTTCGAGTATCCAGCGTATGCAGGGTTTGAGTATCCAGAGCATGCAGGGTTCGAGTATCCAGATTATGCAGGGCTCGAGTATCCAGATTATGCAGGGCTCGAGTATCCAGAGAATGCAGAGCTCGAGTATCCAGAGTATGACTACTCAGAGTCTGAACCAGACTACGATCCTGACTACGACCCTGAGGACGATTCTTTCTGTCCTGAGTATTCTGGGTTCTCTTTGCATTCACCTGAGTTATCGACATCTCCATCTTCATCTTCGTCTTCATCATCCAAGCCTGGTCCTGCATTACCAACTTCGCCTGCTCAGTCTTCTTCATCTGGTTCCGCTCCACTACTTCAGTCTTCTGAGTTCCAGTTTTCAGAGTTCCAGTCTTCAGAGTCTTCCAAGTTCCAGTCTTCAGAGTCTTCCAAGTTCCAGTCTTCAGAGTCTTCTGAGTTCCAGTCTTCCGAGTTCTAGTCTTCAGAAGATCCAGACTCGTCAGTTCCACTCTCCAAATCACCAATTCTTGGATCACCACGTATTCCATCATCCTCATCAGTTCCAGTTCCTATTCCAGTCTCTATACCCGAGTCTCCAATACCACAATCACTAGTTCCAGTCTCTGTCTTTGTGTCTTCAGCCCTCGAGTCCTCAGAGTCTTCAGAGTCCTCAGAGTCTTCAGCCCTCAAGTCTTCAGAGTCCTCAGCCCTCGAGTATTCAGAGTCACCAGTCCTCGAGTTTTCACTTCCAGCCACTACATCATCACCAGCTCCTGTTCCAGTCTCTGCACCCGAGTCATCAGTTCCAGTCTGTACTCCATTTCCACAATCATCTGTTCCTGAAACCCCGGGTTGTATTGTGAAGTCCCCAGGTACACTTGTTTTTGAAATCCCGGGTTGGATTGTGAAGTCCCAGGTCAGCTAGTTCCTGAGTCCTCCGAGTATCCTGAGTCTCCAGAGTCCGAGTATCCTGAGTCTCCAGAGTCTCCAGAGTCCGAATATCCTAAGTCTCTAGAGCCTATAGAGTCCGAGCCAGCAACAGAGTCTGCAGAATCTCCGGGTTGGATTGTGAAGTCCCCGGGTCTGCCTGAGTTTCCTGAATCTATGCTGCCAAGCTCTTATCATCACCAGTTGCGGCCTCCAGTGAACTCTCATCGCCGGTTCCTCCAGAGTGCCCTGAGCTCTGTCTCCCCAGCACTTGGGTCCAGAGTTGCTGTCTAGAGATCCAGCTCCTTTGCGGCCGAGCTCCGGACCGCCCTACAGAGATCAAGCTCCTTCATGGCCGAGCTCCTGGCCGCCCACCAGAACTCCGTTTCCAATGCGGCTGGACCCACAGCCGGCCCTCAGAGCTCCTCCTTTGCTGCGGCCGGACCGACGGCCGTACTCCACAGTTCCATCTTCGCTACAGCCGGGCCTTCGGTCGACATCCAGAGCTCTGGTCTCACCTGTGTTGGGTCCCTGGTCAACCACCTGAACTTCCTGCCCTCTTATGGTGTGCCTAGGGCCATGTTTGGACACTTTTGTTTCAAGTTTTTCCCTTTTTTTTCTTCCCAGGACCTTCCTGTCGGTTTTTCCTCTTTGTGTTGTTTTTCTCTTTCTCTTTAGTCTTGTCTGCTTGTGGTTTGTCTCGTGCCCTCTGTCCTGTGGTTTGCTTTTGCACCCCCCTTCCTCCCTCCCGTGCTCATGTTCTTCTGTTATCGCCAGGAGACGATTATTAGAGGCGGGTACTGTCAGGATCTGTGTCTTGTATGTGTGTTTTCTGTTTCCTTTATGTACTGCCTCCCCCTTGTGATCTCTTTGTGCCATTACTCCTGTCCTCAGTTACTCTGTTCACTCCTGACCTTTCACACCTACCTGCACTTATAATCGTCTCAGCTGTCTCCACTTTCCACTTATCCTCATAGTATATATTCTGTTTGTTTTCTCTCCACCTTCATCCGGTCATTGTTTTGGTTCCCCGTCCTGGCTTCCTCGTGTCATCTATTACTTGTAAGTTTCTTTTACTTTATTCAATGAATGTTTTTATTTTTGAGCTTGCCTGCCTGCTTGCCTGTTTCTGGGTCCACCTCTAGTCTCTGAGCCTGACACTCTTTTTCGGATAATTCTCTGTAAACCCTAGAGATGGTTGTGGGTGAAAATCCCAGTAGATCAGCAGTTTGTGAAATAATCAGACCAGCCCGTCTGGCACCAATAACCATGCCACGTTCAAAGTCACTTAAATCACCTTTCTTCCTCATTCTGATGCTCAGTTTGAACAGCAGCAGCTCATCTTGGCCATGTCTACATGCATAAATGCATTTAATCGCTGCCATGTGATTGGCTAATTTGGCATTTGCATAAGGAGTTGGACAGGTTTACCTAATAAAGTGACCAGTGAGTGTGTATTGTCTGCTCTGATTACTGCATTGAGCTGGTGTACATGTTTTATACATTTTATTGTATTTTTCATTTACCCTTTGTATTTTCTTTATTTGTTATATTTTATACTTACTGCACCTGTACACTGAAGCTAATTCCTAGTATGTGAATCCTGTTCATTGACAATGGCAATAAAACTGATTCTGATTCTGATATTAGATGGATAATGGTAATGTTTTCGAGTCATGACCCTTATAGCTCTTTTCTGCAAAACAAAAACAGGATTTGTAATTGTTTACATGCACTCCTTCATACCTATACACAATAGACCGAGTGTGGAACAATTAATGTGTTATATAACATACACAGATCATTATCATTAAACCATCTGACATAAGACCACTGCAAAAGGGTTTTAATCCAGATATGTTGGCCTACTGACCAGTATAGTTCAGTAAAATGATATTGTGATTTACTGAGGGATACTTGTATTTGTTTCCCCTCTGTGTGTTTCTGCGGCCCTCCAGGACCCTGACAGACCTGCTGAAGCAGCAGGGGAGTGAGACCAGCTCGGTAGAAAATGTTACGAGCAGTGACAGCGGAGGCAGAGCTAACGGCATCTCAGCCAGGATGCTGCGCAGCAGGAGCGGTGAGTGCACACACACACACACACACACACACACACACACACACACACACACACACACAC